ACGAACCTCGACAACCAGTTCTTTGGCCGAACGACAGCGCCGCCGAGCAACGCGACGACGGCACCGGTACTCGACGACCAACAAACCGTGCCGCCCAACGACCACAGCAACATCAACCGCGGCGCCGGCAACACTGGTGGTGACACGACTGCCGAACTCAAGGCCAAGGCCACGGTCGGCACCGAGTCGACGTCCGAGCTCACGGTGCGGTACGTGACGGCCGCCGTCGTTGCCGTGACGATCGCGACGCTGGCGTTCTTTCAGTTTCTAGCCATCAACCCGTCGTACATTGCACCGGACGCAGCGATGGAGCGGGCGTTTGCACCCAACGCGTGGGAGCTGCCGACGTTTGTCGGGTTCCTCCAAGGCATCAGCTTGCTCTCGCTGGTCCGCAACGCGAACGTGCCGCAACTCTTCTACATGAACTTCCTCGACTCGCTCTCGTGGCTCAACTTTCTCATTCGGGCGCCGGCGTCGTCGGCGTCGACAAGCACCGTGGCATCGGTACAGCTCGTGAGCCACCGGCAGCTGGCGTCGACGTCCAGCTACGACGCGTCGGGGTACATTGACTTCTCGCTGCGCGCGAACGTGGGTGAGAAGGACTGGTTCTTCCGGCTCTGGGCGACGGTGCTGGTCGTGCTGGCGGTGCTCTTGCTGGTCGTGGTCGTGACGGCCGTCGTCGCCAAGTGCTTGGTGCAGCGCGGGAACCCGTTCCACTCGGAGACGTCCGACTCGCACAAGCGCAGCGTGAGTCTTCGTTCAATCTCGCGCCGGCTCCTCGGCATGTGTGTCACGGTGGTCTACTTTGCAATCTTGCCGCTGTCGATGGTCGCGATGTTCGAGGTGCTGCTCGACACAACGTCGACGGGGTTTCCGCATACGAACGCCGTGCTCTCGATGGTGACGCTGGCGCTGCTCGTCGGTGTCCTTGTCGCCGGTGCGATCGCGGTGCACCGCAAGACCGAGGCGGGTCTCTCCAAATGGCACGTCCGCGTCGTGTGGGGCGTTGTGTACGGGCCATACCTGTACAGCCACCGGCTCTTCTTTGTGGTGACGGCGCTTGTCCAGCTCCTCTCGGGTGTCCTTGTGGCGAGTGTCTCGGCAGCCGGCGCCGCGCCGCTGATCGCACTCATCGCGCTGCGCGTCGTCTACGTCGTGCTGATCGCAGTCGTCCGTCCATTCCAGTGCAACATCCAGCTGTGGTGCACCCTCGTGTTTGAAGCACTCTTGGTTGTTATGTATGGCGTCGCCGCTGGTCTCACGCCGCTCGGGCTGGAAGTCGGGACGCAGAAGACGCTGTCGTATGTGGTTGTCATCATCGTCGTCGCGATCGTTCTCGTCGTCTTCCTGCGGCAACTGCTCATGCTCTGGAACTTTGCGAGCGGGTGGGCAAAACCCGACGACGTCTCGTACTCGGGTATTCCGACGGCGCACGAGCACGACTGGGAGAGCTCCGGCGCCAACTACACCATTTCGATCCCGGGTGCCGACTCGTCGTCGCGCGACGCGTCAGCTGCGTATTCGACCGACAACATGCCCAACACGATCCGACTCGTGCCCTCGACACACCCGACCCGGTCTTACGACCTGTAAAAGATGATCATTCGTGTACCTACGAGTCCCTTGTATGCACAGATTGTCTATAGCGTGCGACTGCAGTGGCTTGGCTTGGTGGTAACAGCAAATACATCGTCGGGGATTAGGACCGGATATCAGACACGCATAAATCGCACATTTCTAACAGGCACTCTGCAGTAAAGCCTGGAGCAACGTCCTCATCATGTCTCTGTGACCATGCTGCCCTGCTACGAGTTCTATGGAGCAAATCTAGGCGAGACTTCAGCGTCCAACGCAGCTCTTCGAGTCGCCAGACTGCGCTCGAGAGCGCGCTGCAACGCTGACATAGAAGCCGTCGATTCGTTCTCACAGCTATGCTATGATGGAGACTACTCCATCCATGCCGGGTCGAGGTCGACCGCGGCACCTCAGATCTTAGTCGTCGTCAATGGCGCGAATCTTGCGATCCGCTAGCATCCGGATACGAGGTTTGTTAAAAAGCGCTCTTTAAAAAGGCACGGTATCCGGCATGCTGGGTATCCGGATGACACACACGCAGCATGGCTGGAGCGCTCTGGCACGAGGCGCATGTGCTTGACGCGGCCGAGAACGGCGTCGTCCTCTGGCTCATGGACCCAAGCGCCGGTGCGACCACGTCCTATGCTTCACCGCCTCGTGCTCACGCGCGGTGTAGAGACGCGCAAGGTGCATGGCACGGTCGTTGCCGCCATCTTTGCGTGGGTCGAGGTCGTCGCGTTTCTTGGCGAGACCTTCCTCGTCATGGTGCTGGCGATCGCGTCGCGCTCGACGCTCTTGTACTTCCTCTCGTTCCTCATGGAGCGCGATACCTCGGCGACGACGATCGTGGACGCCACGTACGACGCCGTCTTTGTCGTCGCATGGCTCGTGCATCGGTACGCCGCCTTTTTCCATCTCTCGCCGCGCGCGCTCTGCGAACGGTACGTCGGCTCGACCGCGCTTGCCACGTGCAGCAACGCTCTGTTAGGCTCGGGCTCTTGCGCTGGCGACCGCTGGCGACATCGACCAAGTGGCTCGTGCTCTACCATCTCGTCGGGTTTGGCCTTGTGGTCGCGTGGCAGTGGCACACAAGCGACTGGTTCCTCTCGCTGGACAACTACTACGATCCGGCGACGGGCCAGCTCCAGCTCGCGCGCGTCCTAGAGATTCTACTTTTGTCGCCGATCAAGGAAGAGATCGTGTTTCGCGGTCTCGCCTTCCACCTGCTCCTCAACCGGTACGTCCGGTGTCATTCGTTCGAAACACTGGATGCTGATGGCCGTAGGATCCCGAGCAATGGCGTCGCGGCCGGTGTCGCCAGCGTCCTCTTTGGCTGCACGCACCTCATCAACCTCAAGCACAGCAGCTTCTCGACGCCCTATGTACTGCTGCAGACCTGCCTTGGTATCGAAATTGGCTTGTACTACGCTGTGCTGTTTGTGCAGACGCGGCAGAACCTCCGCGACTCGATCGTACTGCACATCGTCAACAACGTCCTCTCGAGCTTCCTCTCGACGCACACGGATTTCAGCGCGCGCCCCATCTTTGCCGTCCTATGTACGTTGTACGGCGTGACAAGGCGGCGTCATTATGGCTATGCTAGTGCTGCATGCGATCGTTGTCTACTTGGGCTTGACGTACGCATCGATCCGGTCGATGCAAGCGCCTCGAAAACTGGCATAAGCGACAATGGCGCGTCGTCGCCGGCAGCATCATCATCCTGCGTCGTCGTCGTCGTTCTCAACGGTGTTGTAATGCAGCCAACGTATCGTGGACTTGATCGGCAGAAGCGAACCAAAAGCCTGGACGTACAGGTCGGGCGACGGGACGATGATTGCCGAAAAGGTCACTGTGGAGGACGACGGGATGAAGCGCAAGGTACTCGCCCCGTCCGTGGCCCATCAGATGGTCGCTGCGAACCCCGACGGCGCAGCTGGCGGTCGCAGCAGATGTGTATGCAGGCACACCGATTCTTCCATAAAAGAAAAGAGCACCCGGGAGGTGCCCGGGAGGCAGTGCCTGAGAGGCGGAAGCAACGTCGTCATCAGCACACTCTGTTTCGCTTCCATACGCATGCACGGGGCGTAGCTCAGTCGTTCGTCATACAAGTATCCGCATTCAATTTGTTCGTGCACGGGTGGACAACGACGACGTCGGTGCACAGAGCCGGCGAAAAGCTACTAGGTCTTCGTACGAGTCGACCATGACGTACACGTACTCGTATGTCTATCACTCGCTCGACTCGCAACGGACCATACAATGGTAATCCGCGCAGCTACGTAGAGCTTTACGTAGCCCCGCGATCCGCCACCTGGCGCTGCCACGTCATGAAGCGTTACAACGGACGACCACCTCTACCGTTGCTGTTTGGTGACCTTGTGACACGAGTAGCGTGATCGCGTCGACAATACCAAGAGCTGCAGTTGCCTCCTGCGAGAGGCCTTGGACGCGAGCTGATCCGCGTGGTGAGCCGTCCGACCGGTCGAGCAAAGGCGGGCTGAAGCGTTGCATGATAGGGTCTTGGATCGCCCGTCGACGCCGCACCTGATCCGAAATGATGCGGGATCAGGGGACGCGTGGTGAAGGTGGCATAAACGGGCGACGTGACCAAGGGCATTGCATACGCTTGCCGAGGTGCTGGACCGACGCCACCTGGAGCGCACCCGTGGGACGCCAGTGTCATGCCCTCCGCGCAGCAACGGGCCACCTGGAATTGAAGAACGCGGGCCTAGTGGCGTCGGCGATGCAAGTACCCACGTCCTATTACTCGGACATGGCAGTCGACGGTCTCTACCGATCGAAACCCAATTGCAGACGACACGGACGGTTGCGTCGTGCGTTGAAACCTCGGCTTCTCGACGCCTGTATACAAGCTCAGTCGGTCGCGCCACCTGCTGCGCCCGCGTCTCAGTGGGCTACCGCGGCCGTCGAATTGCCGTATTCAGTAGGACGCACCACATCCGGCGCACACTACCATCGCGGGTTCGAATCGCCGCCGCGAGCGCAACGCTCCCGTTGTCGTCAGTGGACCAGCAGCTTTTCCCGAAGGTCATCTCTGCCGGCGACAATACGCCCGCCGATGTCGTCCCGTCTTGCAAATCTCGCGCCACCGTCGCCGGTTCACACCCGACGCGGTCGCCTGCGCCTGCCCGACGATTTGTGGCAATTGAGAGAACCGCTGCAAGACGAACTTGAAGTGCAAAGGCAGGTGACCACGCACCCATGTCAAGAGAGCCGCCCTGACAGCGCGCCCAGCTGGCGACGTGACATACGCTGGAAAGAACAACCCTTGAGGTAGGCGCAGCGCAGCATCCGTCTCGTCCGTCTCCTCCACTTTGCAATTTGCCATTCCCAGTGTACTCGATGCTCGAGCTCCTTCTCTCGACGACGACGACACCGACGTATCAAAAGTGCGGGTACCGTACTGGCAAGTGCACGCACCCGAGCGCGCTCAAGCGCAACGGCCAGTTCCACCGGCTCTGTGCCTTTCACCGGCAAAAAGCCAACTGGAACCAAATGAAGCTCGACCGGAAGAAGCGCGAGCGTCGGGCATCGACGGACGACGACGACGCCGTCGCCATCTTCTCGCCCGCCACCATGTCACCGGTGCTGCCGTCGGCCCTGGACGACGGCCCATTCACACTCGCCTCGGATGAAATGGACTTTTTCCTCGACGCCATTCTATCGTCCAAGGGGCTGCCACCGATGCCCGACACGACGTTCTATTGACACGCTACTGGCGTGATTGTTTCTAAGTTAAATGCACTGTATACAATTTTACTTTCTTCTTGACGCTCCGAATTCAGTGCATATCGAGCGAAGGCGTAGGAAGGCTTGTACTGGTAGTCGCACGATCGACTGCCGAGAACGTTCTCGGAGGAACATGCCACTGGGTGGCACCCGTGCCGTGTCATTGACAGGACATCCACCGTGGACTGCATGTGGACGAAGCGCGAATCGGAATTGGTACATTGTGGACGCTGGAAAGGCCGGTGCCCTGTTGACGCGACAGTGTCGCCGCGCTGCAACCGGCAAACGACGGGCGACACCACCCAGTCAACAAGCAGTTGACCGAATCGACCGTTGTTATGGAATCGCCACCAGCGGGACACGGGTTTGTTTGGGAATCACTCTTCATCATCCCGTACTACTCAGCAAACGCGCGTCGAGCGAATAAACGTAGCAATGCTCGGGATACGAATTCGTTTAATTCGTTGCGAGAACTCTTGAAAAAACAATGATTCGTTGGATGCGTCCAAGCAACAAGAAAGCGAGGCTTGAGCTTCCAGTGGGACGACCATCCAGATGGGCGGCGTGCGCTGGGTGCGTTGACGCGAAGACGGCAATAATGGCGCGACACGATGTCTCTGCAGCATCCAATGAGACTCACCCATCCAGATCCGGTACCGCGCCTCCCGAGTACTGTTTGGGGTACACTTTTAGCTGTCTCCCAAGCGGTATCAAAGCGATTCCCTCATTGGTCTCGGCAGATATGCTCCGCAGAAAGGTTTGGGACGGTAGGTGTTAGCCGCTTCCTGTGGGCTGTCGGTGGGCGATGCCGCACCCACCACAAATGACGGCGGCGCTCTTTATGCGCGAATAATCGCGCACCCGCGTTGCGACTGACAAGCTACGTTGCCGTCGGACGCATCCTGTCAAGGCCTGTGCTTTCGTAATGTGGAGCTGTAATAAGGGACTGTATTTCGAACCGTGCCCCGGCGCACGATGGAGGCACCGCAAGAGAAATAGCAATCTAGTCGCCTATCTCGGTACGATAACATACGGTTTCGCGTAGGTAATGATAGCCTTTGATCCACACACAACATGGGCGACGTACCGTTGCCGTGGCACCGACACGGAAGAGATTCGTATCGGCGCGTCGGTCCGACGGAGCACGGCACCGTGTACTTGGAGTTGTCGGTAATGACGAGTCTACGGCGGTAACGACCCGTCGGCGAACCACGGCGCCGGTGTGCACCGCCCTTTGAATCTTTGGCTACGACAGCCCTTCTCGATGACAACAGTACTTCACAAAATGGTATTATATCTTGTCGCGAGATGACTACGAACTACAGGTTTAGGCACGCGAGTCCATGAGTCGGATCGTGTTGGGCACGTCGTAGTCGTCGTCGTCGCCCGTGCGCCGGTCCGGCGTCGTGTGGTGCGACGACGTCCCTTGGAGCGAAACGGTGTAGTTGCCATTTTCAGTGTCCATCTCGTGCTCGTTGGCCGTATACAGGCCCGTGTACTGATCGTCGTTGGTCGGCTTGGCCCACCCAGACGCGAACGTCCAGAGCATGACCAGTTGCCGAAGCAGCATGCCAAGCACAAACACGCAGACAAGGACGACGATGACATACGAGAGCGTCGTTTGCGTGTCCACCGACAACGGCGTCGACGTCATGCCAATGGCGGCGCCGAGGATGGCGCACAAAAGCACGTCGAGGACCACGGTCGCCCACAGCTGCAGGACATCCCGGAACGGCTGCAGGACGAGGAGCAGCACAATGTAGAGAGCATGGAGCACGATGAGCGCAATGAGCGGGGCGGCGCCGGACGCCGTCACGTTGGCGACGAGGACACCAGAGAGAAGCTGGACGAGAATCGGCACAACAAAGAAGAGACGCCGACTGTACTCGTATTGGCCGTAGAGGGCACCCCAGATGACGCGCACCTGCCACTTGGAGAGACCGGCCTCCGTCTTCTTGTAGACAAGGACCGCACCGGCGACGAGCAGCGCCACGAGGAGCGCGAGCGTCACCATCGAGAGCACCGCGTTCGTATGCGGAAAGCCGTCGCCGAGCGACGCGTCTTGCCGGATCTCAAACATGGCGATCATGCCGAGCGGGAGGTACGCGAGCGTGAACAGCGAGACGCAGAGACCGAGAAGGCGCTGCGAGATCGAGTGCAACGATTGGGCGCTCGAGTGCGAGCCGGACGAGTCCGAATGGAACGGGTTGCGGCGCCCCGACTTGAGCCGGCCGACGACACCGACGACGACGGCCGCGGCCAAAACGATGGCGAGGACGACGAGGACCGCGATCCAGAGACGGAAGAACCAATCTTTCTCGCTGACGTGCGACCGGAGCGAGAAGCTGACGTAGCCCGAGGCGTCATAGTCGGACTTGATTGTGGCGAGCTGCCGATGGCCCACCACGGCTGGGCTGAGCTGGATCGACGAGACCGTGCTCGAGGTGGCCGACGGCGCCGACGCCCGAATCAAGTAGTTGATCCACGAGAGCGAGTCGAGGAAGTTGACGTAAAAGAGCTGCGGGATGTTGGCGTTTCGAACGAGCGAGAGCGCACCGATGACCTGGAGGAACCCGACAAAAGTCGGCAGCTCCCACGCGTTGGGTGCAAACGCCCGCTCCATCGCCGCGTCCGGTGCAATGTACGACGGGTTGATGGCTATAAACTGAAAGAACACCAGCGTCGCGACCGTCACGGCAACGACCGTCGACGAGAGATACCGAATGGTCTGGTGGGCCGTCGACTCGGCGCCGACCGTCGTCTGCGGAGCATCGTTGACGTCCGACTTGCCGCGGTTGATATTGTTGCTGTGGTCCGTGGGAGGCACAGTGGGCTCAGCGTCGGGCGCAATAGTTCTGTTGGTCGGTGCGGTCGTCATACCGAGAAAAGAGTCGCCACTTGGCGCCGGGGTCGGAGGCTCGGTCTGGTTGAGAAAGTTTCGAAACGATGGGTCGACCGTGGCAACCGCAGATGTCGGGATATCAAAAGGAATCTCGGTCGGGATCGGAGTACCCGTCGATGTCGGGGTTGGCGTCGGGACAGACGTTGGTGGCTCCGGCGTGGTGACGTTCGGCACCGGCGCTGGCGATGGCGTCGGGACAGACGTTGGTGGCTCCGGCGTGGTGACGTTGGGCACCGGCGCTGGCGATGGCGTCGGAATCGGTGTCGACGGCTCTGGTGTGGTGACGTT